GGAAAGAGCATCCTGGCTTCCTGTTGTGACATCGCAAGAGAAGGCTTCAGAAACAAACCATCCCCGGGCCAGGCCCATCCCAGCCTTTCGAGGGCCTCTTTGATGGCAAGTGACAGACATCCAAGTCAAAGCAGCGCAAGGAGAATATACTCTGAGGATACAGGAGGGTCTCAACCAACACAGCTTCAGGAGTACAGCCGACGCCCAGCAGCTCACAGAGAACTGTGGCCGTGAACCTTGGGGACCCCCCTTTCATGTCCACTAACCTTCTCTGGTGCTCAAGTCATGCTCCATCATCTCCCTCTGCCGGGTAGATTCCTCTGCTTCTCTGGTACATGAGGCAAGAAATGTGCCTCAGACAGATTCCCACCTTTGTAACTCACAGAGACCGGCCCCCCTAGGTTTCTGTTTCAAATTAACGTGGACCATGATTGGCAAAGCTTGTGCTGAGCAGGTCCTGGACCAGTCAGCCTGGAGGGCTCTCATGCTCTCACGTTCACCTCTGGAAGCAGATGGGTGGGGTGTGTGGAGTGGGCAATTCCCAGAAGAAAGGAAGTGCTGGGTAGATAAGACAATAAAGGGTTGACCCTGGTGGGGCACTTCTTAATGAGGCCTATTTTCCTTACTTGGAAAATGGAGAGTCATACCTGGTGTGGCTCAATTGGTTGAACATCATACCGTGCACCCAAAGCTCACTGGTACAATTTCTGGTCAGGGCATGTGCCCAGGTTGCAGGCTCGATCTCCAGCTAGGGCTCAGCGGGAGGCAGCCAATTGATGTTTCTCTCTTTCTCCCCTTCTACCTTCCTCTTTTTTTAAAATCAATAAAAACATATCCTATATAATAAAAGCCTAATATGCTAAGTATCCGACTGTTTGACCAGTTGCTATGATGCACACTGACCACCAGGGGGCAGAAGCTCTGACTGGTAGGTTAGCTTGCTGCTGGGGTCCGGCCAGTTGGGACTGGGTGAGATGGGCTGGACATGCCCTGGAGCCCTCCCGCAGTCCCTCCCTGGCTGGCCAACCTTTCATGGTCCCTCCCTGGCCAGCCGGCCCCCATCAGCCCCGATCGGGACTGGGCAAGACAGGCCGGACACCTCCTGGAGCCCTCCCTCGGTCCCTCCCTGGCCCTGATCATGCACCAGTGGGGACCCTCGGTCTGGCCTGCACCCTCTTGCACTCCGGGACCCCTTGGGGGATGTCGGAGAGCTTGTTTCAGCCTGATCCCCGCAGGCCAGGCTGAGGTACCCCAGCGGTGCACAAATCCATGCACTGGGCCTCTAGTTTAAAAGAAAATGGAGATAACAATCTGCCTTGGAATTTATTGTTGTGAAGATGAAAGCAGGTTAAAAGATTTGATGCCCAGTCTTCCCACCAAGGGCTCCTAAAGATCGGAGAGAGTGGACTCACAGTCTGAGGGGTCTGTTGATGGAGCTTCAAGCAAGACATTCCTTTCAGGGTTTTTTTTTTTAACTTAAAAATGTATGATCTATGGCTCTGGGTCAGTTGGTAGGAATGCCATCCTATACACCAAAAGGTTTTGGGTTGGGTTGCAGATTTAATCTCTGGTCCCAGACCCTAAGGGAAGCAAATGATCAATGTTTCTCTCTCTCTCAAAACAGTAAAAAACATCCTCAGGGAGGATTAACAGTGTTTTTGTTTGATCTGTGGGAATTCAGCATATGACAAAATTGACATATCAAGTCAGTAAGGAAAAGAGACGTTACTCAGTCAATGATGTTGAGACAGCTGAGTTGTCACTTTGGGGGGAAAGGCAAATACCTCACCATTTACACCAGATGAAATTCCTGACGGAATTAAGATTTAAGTCATTTAAGTGTAAAAAAAAAAATGAAACTATGAAAGTACTTAGGAAAGTGCTAGAAACCTGAGCCAAAGAACTCAGAACATGGACTCGTTTTTTTCAGTGCTGGGCACAGAGTTGGAGAACAGTAAATTTTCAGTGAAATGAATTCATAAAAGAATGTTTTTTAATCACTTCAGATAGGGGAGCATCCTTTCCAATATGGCATAAAACCCAGAAGCTGTAAAAGCAAAGGTAAATTTGCCAAAAAAATTTAAAAAATGACTATATGGCGAGGAGGAGAAACTAAATCAAAAGACAAACATACTGGAGGGCAATATTTGCAATTCATATTAAAAAAGGTACCTTTCTTTAATATCTAAAGAAATCCCAACTGTTAAGGAAAAAGCCAACAATCAAATAGGAAAATGATATGAAGAAACAGTTCCCAGAAGAAGAAATACAAATGGGTCTTGAACATTTAAAAAAAACATACTCAACCTCCTTCATAGTTAAGAAAAACAAATAAAAACTCTAATGAGATACCAGTTTTCACTCATCAGATTGGCCAAGGTCAGAGAGTTTGAAAACACATATCTGTGTGTTGGCTAAGGGGTGAGGCAAGATACTCTGGCATGATGATCGAGAGATTGGACCATACAGTACACCCTGGGTCCCACTTCTAGGAATTTTGCTACAGGTACACTACCTGTGTACAATGAGGAAAATTTGGGGTTATAGTTACTTAGTGTTGTTTATAATAGGAAAATATTGGAAATAGCAGTAATTGGGCCAGTGGACAAATTCTAGCTCATCCATACCGTGAAATATTGTGCAGTTGTTAAAAGAATGAAATAATTCTATGAATGTGTTATGAAAAGACTTCCAAGATGTAGTGTTTATCTGGAATAAAGCAAGCTGAAAAGCAGTGTGTATTTTATGCTATCATTTTTACTTAAAAAAAAAGCAACTCCCATGCATAGCTATTTATTGTACTACATATAGATGGTCTGTGGGATGATTCCTAAGAACCCAGGAATAGCAGTTGCCTCCTGGGAGTGAAGTTGTGTAGTTGGAGAACAGAGATGTCAATTTTTATTCTTAACTCTTTTATACCTTACTAGAGGCCCGATGCATGGATTCATGCAGCAGTGGGGTCCCTTGACCTGGTCTGTGGGGATCAGGCCAAAACCAGCTCTTCAACATCCTCCAAGGGATCCCGGATTGTGAGAAGGCGCAGGTCAGGCTGAGGGCCCCCACTGGTGCACGATCGGGGCCAGGAAGGGACCACAGGAGGGCTCCAGGGCATGTCTGTCCTGTCTCAGTCCTGATTAGGGCCGATCAGGGGCAATCAGGGCCAGCCAGCTGGGGAGGGACCATGGGAGGCTGGCTGTCCAGGGAGGGGCTGTGGGAGGGCTCCAGGGCATGACTGGCCCATCTCGCCCAGTCCTGATTGGCCGGATCCCAGCAGCAAGCTAACCTACTGGTCCGAGTGTCTGCCCACTGGTGATCATTGCACATCATAGTGAACAGTCTGACACAGCATATTAGGCTTTTATTATATAGAATGATTTTTCTCCCAGGAACATGTATTACATCTTCAAATAATAAATTAAGAAAAATGTGTGTTACTTTAGCATTCTGCTCCATAATATATCCACAATTGATTTAATGTAAAAATAATGTTTTAAGTTACTTATCTTACACTAATTAACTTTCCATCCCAACTCTAGATTGAAATTAACATTCTAGAAAGATGCAACACATTCATCCTGGGCCTTTGTCTTTGGGCACAGCCAGTGCCCCCTTTTGGAAGAGAATGGAATTTGGAGTGTTTGGCACATATAGCAGCTGCCCTACAAACATGAGTTCCTGTCTCTGTGGAAACAACTGTTCCTGGGAGTGGAGCTGGGGGGACCCAGCTCCTTGGAAGATCAGAGGGCTGATAAGTGACCTACGCCCTAAGTAGGGCTTTGGAGGTATTAGCCCATGAAATCCATGTTCTTTAGCCTGGACCAGTGCCTGGCTCATAGCAGGCACTCAACAACAACAAAATATCCTATCTAATAATAGAGAAACATGGTAATTAGCCATACCTCTGCAACCCTTCCCATTGGCTAATCAGGGCGATATGCAAATTAACTGCCAACCGAGATGGCAGCCGGCAGCCAGGCAGCTTGAAGTGAATAGGAGGCTTGCTTGCTTCAGTGATGGAGGAATCCAATGTTCCCTGCCTGCCTTGCCGGCCTCTGAGCTTGCAGTTTAAGAAACATTGTTACAAATATAGAACCTAAACAAAACCCTAGAAACCTGCTTTCAGCCAGCCAGGGTTCAGCCAGCAGGACCGCAACATTGCTTCAATTATAGAACAAACCCAGATCCCTGCTTTCAGCGGGAATCCCCACCCTGAAGGGTGTGTGACCAGCTGCAAATAGCCATCATCCCCTCATCCAGACTGGCCAGGCTGGGCTGAGGGACCCCCTCTCCCCCCCGAGTGCACAAATTTTTGTGCACCGGGCCTCTAGTCTATATATATTTCTGGAATGAACACACCAAGAGTTGTAGGATCTCACCTGAGAGAGAGACAAATGCTGTTCAGAAGCATTGGTGGAGTCCTGTAAGTAGGTGACATTTAACCTGGGGCCTGAAGAAGGAACTCTTCAAGTAGAGGACAGGAGGAGATGAGAGGCATTTTAAGGGGAGAAAATGCGGGTAGGAGAGTGAAGGGAGGGGCCTGGGAGGTCCTGGTGGCAGCTCACAGCCGATACCTGCCCAGCTGGGAGCAGCAATCATGTGGGGCCAGTTACCTGGGGCATCAG